GTCATGGGTCAATGTACATGTATAAATGAATGCAATGCATAATGAAGTAAGTCTATAAGATCTCCCAAAAAGTAATAAGATCAATATGCTTTCGGTTAATATCATGAAATCAATTTTATTAACTTACGAATTTTTTTAGACCCATGAATAGACAATATAATAATAGGACACATGGGGAATCAAGAGCATAGGCACTCTTAGTACTTCTATGAATAGAATCATTTGTGAAAGTTGCACGTTTGATCGTTTCGTTGTATCATATGGATAATGCCAAAAGGAATGAAGGGTTAGCCTTAACATACCTGGTCTTAACCCACTGGCTCAAGAGCTCAATTCGTATGCGCTATACGATAACAAGAATAATACTATTGTTAACCACACGAACAACTCTCTTAATCGCATAACGGAAGATAGCCTATCCTACAATGAAATGGACAGTATTTTCCCTGTTCTTATCATTACCTCAAGCCTACCATAGGAAAGGTAATATAACAACACAACTAGCAATTCCTATGACAAAATCCAAACAATTATACAACCAGCGGAAAGCTCGGGTATGATTTTCAACCATACTTCTCCAATATTTTCTTTCCTTGAAAACACATATCGATGACTACACCAACTGTATACACAAGTTACTCCAATAATTTCTAGTCACAACAAAACTAAAAAAATTACCGAATAGCCGATACAACAACAACAACGTTAAAATACGATTTTCCTCTATTAATTCAATAATTCTCATCCTACAATTCAGCCATGACCTAGACAAATTTAAATATACCAAGGAGAGGAAAATTCTTACCTTATTTTATAAGAAATACTCTTATTGCTCCTTACTTCACATCGAAGAAAGTCCGGATTAACCAACACGCCAAAATGGAACAATAAGATCGAAGTGGTGCCCAAAACCCGCATATTATCTTTGAGAAAGATTACACTCTTCTTCTAACTTACTTATTCGAAGAAATCTCCGATTGCTATCATCCGGAGGAAATAGATGTGGGCATAATCTCTATGTTATTCTTGCATTTTGCTTCAATGCGAGGACATATCTTTACCTCCACACGTTGTAGCTCATATTTCTCAAGGGGACCTTTTTCTAAACTATGTTGAGAAGAAGCAAAATATGTATTTCCTCCACAGTTGCTAAAAACGTTGCTGATGATAGCTATGCATATGTTTTCAAGACATATGTTTATCCGCCAAAAGGTAAATGTAATAGTTGTAGTTAGTGGATAGTGGGGTCCACCCCTATTTGTGTCACGACCCGGATTTCTACCCTCGGGAGTCGTGATGGAGCCTACTAATACGAGCTAGGCAAGCCAATTAATTACACAATTTACCTTTTTACCCATTTTATATTCATTAACAATTTCGAAATAATAACATTTAAACAGCGGAATTTAACATAAGCAGAAGGAAGAAACAATAAGCTATCTGAACATGAATATCTAATACAACTGTTTGAGTTTCGACTACCCAGAACTGGTGTCACAGTTTCACAGACGGTCTAAGAATACTACAAATAAAGGGTCTGAAAGAAATAAATACATCACTGTCTCTAGAAATGCATGAAAGAAACAGGAATAGTAGATAGAAGGAGACGCCAAGTCCTGCGGACGCCTGCAGGACTACCTCGGGTCACCTGACGATCAAGAATCAACAACCTCATTGCGGTCTGAAGTCCACAATGCTGGGGTCTGCACAAAAGAGTGCAGAGTGTAGTATCAGCACAACCGACCCCATGTGTTGGTAAGTGCCTAGGCTAACCTCGGCGAAGTAGTGACGAGGCTAGAACCAGACTACCAAATAAACTTGTGCAGTTCAAATATGTATAGCAGAAAAAAAATACGGAAATAAACAAGTAAAGATGGGAGGGGGAAACATGCTTCGGGGAAAAACAGGTAAAAACAGAATATCAATAGAATATAAAGGAAACAAAATCCAACCACTAACAAGGATAAAGAAAAACAAAGTCAAATTTCACTTTCTTTTCACATCTTGTTGCATTCGTGCAACCTGATCCCATTTCTCATATCTTGTGGCAGGCGTGCCACCCGCTCCCATTTCATGTATCTTGTGGTAGACGTACCACCCGCTCCCATTTCATTATATCTTGTGGTAGGCGTACCACCAGCTTCCATTTCATTATATCTTGTGGTAGGCGTACCACCCGCTCCCATTTCATTATGTCTTGTGGTAGGCGTACCACCCGCTCCCATTTCATTATATCTTGTGGTAGGCGTACCACCCACTCCCATTTCATGTATCTCGTGGTAGGCGTGCCACCCGCTCCCATTTCATGTATCTTGTGGTAGGCGTACCACCCGCTCCCATTTCATTATATCTTGTGGTAGGCGTACTACCAACTCCCATTTCTTTATATCTTGTGGTAGGCGTACCACCCGCTCCCATTTTATTATATCTTGTGGTAGGCGTACCACCCGCTCCCGTTTTATTATATCTTGTGGTAGGCGTACCACCCGCTCCCATTTCATTATATCTTGTGGTAGGCGTAGCACCTGCTCCCATTTTATTATATCTTGTGGTAGGCGTACCACCCGCTCCCAGTTACAACCAACAATAATCACAAGGAATCCCGGCAAGGGAACAAGAACAACATAATAACTTCCCAGCAAGGGAACATTAATAATTCAACAACATCCCGGCAAGGGAACAATGATATCTCAACAATATCCCGACAAGGGAACAATAATATCAAACAAACATCCCGGCAAGGGAACAATGATGATAATAACATATGAGGCATAATAAACCACAACGGAGTCATAACAAATTATAACACAAGACTCGCGGGCATGCTTGACACCAACGTATAAATACTCGCCACCATGCCTATACGTCGTACTCCACAATTAACACGTAGCAAGTAGACACAACTCCTAATCCCTCAAACTAAGGTTAGACCAAACACTTACCTCGCTGCCACGAACACAATTCACTGTTCAATTATAGCTTACCCCTTGATTCCACCACCAATTCGCTCGTATCTAGTCACAAGTTACTTAATTACATTAATAAACGCTAAATGAATCAACCCCAATGCATGAAAATGAGTTTTCCAAAGTTTTACCCAAAAAGTTAAAAATCGCCCCGGGGCCACATGGTCAAAACCCGAGGTTCGAACCAAAACCCGATCACCCATTCCCCCACGAACTCAAATATATAATTTGTTTTGAAATTAAACCTCAATTTTAAATTGAACTCTGCGTTTCGAGGCCTTAAAAACCTCTTTTAGCATCACCTCGATTTGCGTGCGCAGTCCGGGCGCGTAGCGGGAAAGCCTATATGTGAAAATCTGTGAAAAATGATAAATTTTGACTATAAAATAAATTAATATGACTTCGGTCAACGTTTTGGGTAAACGGACACAGACCCGTGATTTTACGGTCCCTGAGGGTCCGTAGGAAAATATGGGACTTGGGCATATGTCCGGAATCGAATTCCGAGGTCCCAAGCTCGAGAAATGAAATTTTGAAAGAAATTATTTTCTGAAAAATATAAAGGTTTTTGAAAGTGAAATGTTATGTGAAACCTGAGGTATCGGGCCCGTATTATGGTTCCGGAGCCCGGTACAGGTTCAATATGATTTATATGTGTTGTCAGTAAAGTTTGGTAAGAAACGGAATCCATTTGACGTGATTCGAACCTTAAATGCAAATTTGATGTTTAAAGAAGTTTTGGGAAATTTCATTGATCTTGAGGATTAATTCGATGTTCATGATGTTATTTTGGTGATATGAGTACACGAATAAGTCCGTAGGATGTTTTTGAGGTTGGGTGTATATTTGGTTTGGAGCCCCGAGGGCTCGGGTGAGTTTTGGATAGGCCACGGGGTGCATTTTGAACTTAGAAAATTGTAGGTTTTTCAGCTGTGCATAGCAGGCCTGCAGGCTTCGCAAATGTGAGCGGCTTGTCGCAATTGCGAAAGAAGCTCAGGCTAGCTCCCTCTCGCAAATGCGAAGTTTCCCATTTGGCCAGGGATCGCAAATGCAACCAATGTGTCGCAAATGCGAAGTCGCAAATGCGACTTTGTTTCCGCAAATGCGAAAGTCCAGATTTCTTAAGGGTTCGCAAATGCGAGCCCTGTTTCGCAATTCCCAAGCTAGTAGAGGTCGGGGTTCGCAATTCCCACATCTGAGACCTGTAACTTTTATACTTAGACGATTTTAAACCCATTTTTCATGTTCTCTCAAACCATAAACACACTTAGGCGATTTTTCAAGGATTTCTTCTTCTCCAAATCAATTGTAAGTCGTTTTTAACTACTTTCTTCAATTCTTAACATCTTTTAACATGAATTCAACTTCAAATCAATGATCTCATGGGGGAAATTGGGTGTTTTGGGTAGAACCTAGGTTTTTCAAAAATTGGGAAATCGGAACTCAAATCGAGGTCCAAATCTTTTCCATTGAACAAAGTTTCTATCTTGCATAAGACAAGATTTGAAGATCTGCACATGATATATTTTCCATTGGATACCTTTTTGTTGAAAAATTGGATACGAATCTTCGTTAATTCAAGCGTTATATAGGTAGTAATAAGAGAATGACATCTATGAAACAACTACAATTAAAATATTCTTCCATCAATCTTGAAAGAATTTATTTTCCTAGTAGCACTAAAATGTGTGCCTTAGAATTTAAATCTTTGTACGTTTAGTTAATAAATTTATTAATAATGTATTAGCTTTCTTCAATATATACTAGCGAAATATGCATATCTTTTGAGATTTTAAATTTGAAGATTTTTCTTATCTTTTATATGTAATGAAAAAAAAAGAAAAATAATTGAGTTTTGGATAAATTTTATCTATAACAAAAAAAAATAATTTAAACGTCAAATGCTGTTATAGGTGTATAATAGCCATTCGCTATAAAAGTCAAAAAATCTCGTAATATATGATGATTGATTGATTTACCAAAATGACTTTGCCCCGTAGACTTGTTTGAATTAATGTCGGTTTAATTTACTGTTTGCTAAACCTCATTTTCAGTCTTACGCTACTCAAGCACACCCAGTTGTATATTTAGGGCAAACCTTCGATCCTTCCCGCCCAAGAACAGTCTCTCAACACACTCAAACCTAAGCTAAACAGATTGTTCCAGCGTCTCCTGAATTCACCGCGGGAAATCTCCAATGTCTACTTCCATCGAATTGGAGGAAGAGATTGAAGGAGACCAAATTGGCTCCAAAAATTATCGTTTCTCCAAAATCGGAACACCCGTACCTCTAAAGCCCGACGAGTCTTCATCCTTCGATCTCGAAAACCAATCTCCGCCTTTGCAACCTTTAGTCATCTCCGAACGCTTTCGACTTCTCTTCATTGCCCACTCCGATGGTCAGTCTCTAGTGCATTTTATTTGAGTTATTATCACCTAGTTTTTTATTGAGTTATCTAGTGTACTTACAGAGAGGTGAATTTAGAACTCTATGAGTTTGAAATCAATTATTTTTACTTATTTAGTGAATTTTTAACACATAAACATAGTTCGAGCCAAAGCTACTCGGTTCCAACGAACCCATAAGTTGAACTCTGCATTTAAAGAGATGAGAAGATATCAACTACCTGATTGTTTTGAGTTATCTAAGTGTACTATAACAGAGGCAGATTCATGATATGACTTTATGGATTCTACAGATTCGGATTTGGATGCCCCTGCGCTTAAACATATGGATAGGGATGCCGATTCTCACCATTGATATCGACACATCTGAGATCGCCAAATGCTCGGGAGTTCCTCTCGAAATGATCTTCCAGTTCGGGGGAAAATTCGCAAAATTCCGTTTCCATCGAGAATTGAATTGACCTTTCCCTTATTTCGACCGGAGAGTCTTCTTTCCGATCGAAACAAAGAGGCTGGCTCTAACGCTCTCACCCCCAATCCCCCGATCCCGGGCCCAATCACGAACCACCAATCTAATTCGACCACCTCTCCTGCATTTCCATATCCAATGCCTGGGAGCTAGGCTCGAGCTTAGCCCAAGCATCTTAAGTATTGTCCCCTCTCCTGTGAAAGAAAGAGGTTGATGCACCCAGCTACCCGAAGTAGAGCTTTCTTTGTCCCACCTTTCCTTACAAGTGGTTTACGAAAATATCCGTTAGTAGCAATCGGCTCAATTCAATAACATGTTCTATGGCATATTATTATAATAATAATGTTCGCATTTGACCAGGCTTTTTGGACGTTCCATGATTAAACCGACTAGCGGCACTTTTCGAGTTTGTGATTATACCGCAACTCATTAATTTATTGCGTTTGTATTCAATTATTTGTACTTATGTAGTGAAATTTTTAATACATATACTGTCTTTGGGCCAAAACTATTGGGTTCGGATGAACCCATACAGTGCACTCTGCATCCGCCTCTCTTAAGAGATGAGAAGAAATCGCCTAGTTTACTCGAGTTATGTGGTGCCTTTTATATCTTAATTTACACTTTTTGTTGTATTTTTTCTTTGGTTTGATTTAGGGTTTTGTGTTGCGAGGACAAAGGAGGTTATGGCATCAGCACAGGAGATTAAGGAGAAAGGTAGTGGTCCATCCATACAGGAATTGAGCATTGTGGATGTTACTATTGGGAAAGTTTCGGTACTTGCCTTGTCTGGAGATGACTCCTTGCTTGCTGCTTGTGTTGGCAATAAAATCCATTTCTTCCCCGTTAGCGCCCTTCTATACAAGGTATTTTCATTTTATCCGATGCTACAACTTTCCTAGGAATACATGGGTTTGTAACATCAAAACTTTCTGTAGCTTCATTATGTTGGCCTTGTTTAATCATATATGACATCCCTAGCTAAATGCCACGGGGTATATGGATTTGACATTATGGGTTTGAGCTTTAGTGTTGTAGCTTAGGGGGTAGTTGAGCGTTTTTTCCTCGTTGTTCTGGCTAGTCTCATAGTGTTTTGTATAAGACTACTAGCGATTTTTGTTCCATCACACTTTTTGTTTTATTTTTATTTTCAATTTTTATTATTACCATAATTATTGTCCTTCCACTTATTTGTTGTTGCTTACGGTGCTGATATTATTTGTCTGGTTTCTATAGTTGTTACAAATCTTTTGTCTTTGAGCCGAGGGTCTCCCGGAAATAGCCTCTCTACCTTCCGGGGTAGGGGTAAGGTCTGCGTACACTCTACCCTCCCCAGACCCCACTAGTGGGACTATTACTGGGTTGTTGTTGTTTGTTGGGTTTGAGTTCGGGATTCTATCACAGCCCAGTTAATTTACTGGGTTCGAAATATAATTTCTACTTATTTAGTAGACTTTTAAATACATATATAGGGTCCGAGCCAAAGCTATTGGATTTGGGTGAACCCATAAGTTACATATTGCATGTGCCCCTGAGTGCATTCTAAGAACTGCTTCTTCCCTACGAAGTTTGGACACTTTCTCGTTTTCAGTTAAAAAGGCATTGCACTTTGAGTTTTTGCTGCAGAAAACCAGTTTGTGCCTTGCTAAATGCTATCAATTTATGAGTACTGAAATTTTGAAAAATTGATGTCCTTCATTCTTGTTCGTATTGCTTATTAATAGGACCAAACACCAGCCTTTTCTCATTCTGTCAAGGATTCAAGTGTCATCACGGATATGCAATGGGCTAAAAAGGCAGAAAAGGTTTATGTCGGTCTCTCAAGTGATGGGAAGTTGTATAGCGGGGTTGGTCAAAGGCCGATTAAAGAAGTTATGGACGATGTTGATGCTGGTATGTTTCCTTTATCCCTCTTCCTCTTGATTATTGAGGTCCTTGCTATATGTGTTCTGTAGTATCTTTTGCTTAGCTTTTACCATGTAAGGTCCAGGAACTGTTAAGGCCTCTGGTAAATCGAAAGTATCCAATTCCAGCAAGTTTCCTGTTTAGAAATTTCTTATAATTGATTAAGCTTTCCTAATGGGTCTTTGTGGCTTCCTACCTTTTCAACTCGAATAAAAGTCATAAATTTAGGCATTGCATGTTCGTCTCGCAGTTCAAGTTAAAAGTACGTTCCACATCTCATTTGATACAACAAAATGCAAAAGTAAATATTCAGGGTGCCAATGAAATACAATACTTTCCAGCTTCCACGGTCTATTTCTTAGTTCAAAATCCCTCTTTAGTAGATCAAATATCAGTGGGTTGATTGTTTCGCTCTTGTTAGATGCTTCTTGTATTCATTTCCTTGATGCATTGTGGCCATTCTGGACTCAAGTTTAACCAATTAGGAGATTGGGAGCAGTTCATTTTTTTTTCAACACAACATACAACTCCCAGCTGTACTTTGCTTCTCCAATACTTGTCCCTCTTTCTTTTGTTATCTTACCAAGTCTTCGTGAAAAAACTGTGACCATAAGATTTTCAATCCAATTCGAGCAAGTTTCTAATTCAAAAATTTCCTCGGAATTGATCAAACTTTTTAGATTCCTTTTTTTTTTTTAATAAAGAGAAGTTGGGGACATAGTAAACCTCCTACTATAAGAGTGATTCCTTGGGATCGGAAGGGGGAAGATTGAATCTTGAAGGACAATGATAGGCAGACCAAGGTTTACGCTGTTGTTGCGTGCTTGCTTTGTGCACCAGCATAGCATAATTTGAATCTGCTGGCTCAGATGAGTGGCTCTTGGCTATGTGTGTGTGTGTGTGTATTCATCTAGTTCCAGGAGCCTCCACAAATGTCTCTTATGGTCTTGAATGGTTTCGACCATGAATGGAGAGGAAAACCTGATAGTTAAGCCATACATGGCAGGATCTGAGTTTCTTACAATCACATGCAATTAACAGTGAGCACCGGTCTAGCAAAAGTTTCAATACTTTCAATATCATTTCGGACTTTTATTTCTTCTGCTTCAGCTAGAATGAAACTTGAACGGGAAATACCTGTTCCTATTTGTTACCTTAATTCCTGCTGGAACTTCCCAGTTGAGTCCATCTTTGGATCACTGTGACTCAGGGATTTAAGATGTGATATAGCATCTGCTTAAATACTATTTCTCTCTTTCAGCTAATATTTTCCACCAATAAACATTCATTTATAAAGCTTTATACTTCATAAAATCTTTGCTTCAACTCTGGCCATTTTCTTTCTGTTGCTATCTTTATGTAACTCTTATTCATCTGGTTGAAGGTTGGAGCCTTACCCTTGCTGGAATCATTCTCTGCTAATTCCAATATCTTTTTACCAATATATGACCAACCTGTATCTTAGCTCTGTGTATGTAATCACTGACGTCTCCTCTTGTGTGCACCATTCCAGTGAAACTTGCCAATAATAAAAGCTATTCTAGTGAGCCATCTGTATAAGCTGAAATTTGTAGTGTGTATAGAATTGTTACTATTTCCTCCACGATTGCATATTTTACCTCATTCATATGAAGTGCTTGAAGGGGAGCCTTGGATCAACGGTAAAGTTGTCTCCGTGTGGCCTATAGGTCACGGGTTCGAGCCGTGGAATCAACCACTGATGCTTGCGTCAACCTATGCTGCCTACATTACAACCCTTGGGGTGCGACCCTTCCCCGGACCCTGCGTGAATGCGGGATGATTTGTGCACCGGCTGCCCTTTTTTTTTTCTTCATATGAAGTGCTAATATGAGAATTTTTGTACGAAGAACATGTTGCTGTCAACTTTTGATCTACTAACAAAATTTCGTCTTCTTTCCATCAGATAACACATCACTATTGTCCATTAGGTTGAATAAGTTCTCTGGCCTAAAAATAAGTCTTGTTCTTCATTATTTAAACTCTGGTTGATTCAGCTGGTTAGCACTTCATGTCACCATATCACTGGTTTTATTTACCTTGTTAACTAACTAAAATTTGTATCAGTGAAAGACTGTTTGAATTTTGTCAGAAACTCTAGAGAAAGACTACTTTTTTTTTCGTGGTAAATTATTTTATTAGCTTTTTTCTTTTGAAGCAGTAGCTTCATTCACCTTTCTCTGTAGTTATTGAGCAGTGTAGAGCAAGAATTATGAAGTCACTGATGGGTGTTCTTATTTCCTTTTCCCTTTTGGGAGGCAGGGGAATGTGCTCAATATTAGAATAAGCTATAATGCTAAACTTTCAACAACTTGATGATCTGATTTACAAGTTACATCTATTGAATTCTAATATGTACTGAGCTTGCACTTATTTACCTTCATTATGTTGTATAGTTGGGTGGAGTCCGGATGGTGAGTTTGTTGCTGTCACAAGGAAGAATTTGATTAGCATTCTATCATCAAAGTTTGAGGAGAAGTTCAGCATATCACTAGCATTTAAGTCGCTGCTTGATGATTCTAATGCAAAATGCATCATCAAAGGTATATTATGTTTTTGTGCTTTTGGCATGTTATTTCTGATATTTCAGTGAGTTAAGTACAAATAAAATCTTTGATGCATCCAGTTCTGGTATATGCTTTTGCTTCGTATTTCAGTTGTAAGCTTCTGTTATATGTTGCTTTTAGCTTCTTATATGTTAAAAGAATTAGGCAAGAAATATCTGCGGCATATAGAAGATATAACTGAAAAGAGAAAACTCCTTTCTAGCGGTTTAGGTTGTGCGATGGCAGTTATTTTTCTGAAAATATTTGAGCTGAATATATAATGCTTTTTGTAAGACATGTTAGGTACTAATTTCTCTGGATTTTTTCTAGCTTTGTAGATTTGGTATTGCCATGAAAACTTTCTGGTCTAGGGAGAGCTAATCTATATTTGGTTGAAGTCTATCTATTTATATGTTCAAAGATTGAACTTGTTTTGAAAGAAAGAAATATCCATGCAGTTCATGTTAGCTCCATAAATATAGATCCAAAAATGGGGCAGTTCTGGATCGAAACTTCCGTGACTACAAACATGAAACACTTTATTTTACTGTTGTAATACATTGCTTGTATTATTACTCTAGCTTTACCTATACTCATGTAATACATTCTAATGCTTCAAAGATAATATGTCTTACATTTGCTAATAGTGTTACAAAACCTAGATGCTAACTTGTAATACAAAATCTTTGTGAATGATCTAACAACATAAATAGTGGGGTTTATTTGCATGTTCTGTAATGTTCATTACTTTCATCATTTTCTTGATGCATTTTTAGATTCAGTTAGTAAGACCCTAGATTTTGAATTTAGTAAGAAATGGAGGTGGATTTTTAACCTGTCAGTTTTTACTTCAAGTTTATATCTATATTTGTACATTTATAGCAAATAGAGATTCGAACAACATGTTTATAAAAGCAATTATCCTGAGTGTTATACACACACACACATATATACACACACATATGTATCCTTGAGCGCACATGTTTATTGAAAAAAACCTTCATAAAAACAATTACGTAAATATACATTCTTTTTCGAGAAATGTTCGTTAAGACTGAAAAATAATTGGAGCAACAAGTGCGCGTTTAGTAATGTCAGATGAGGAACTAACAAAATGTAGTGCCACCTCCATATAGTGTTTTAGTGTTTAACCAGCTCAAATCAAGCTCTACATTTCCAGCAAAGTTATCTGTTTAATGCCTATTTATGTCTGATGAACTTGTTAGTTGAATGATATTTTTTTTGTTATGGCACAAATTATGACATTTTCTTGTAGTGTTTGTGCTGTTATGGTATTTTTTTGTTTCTCTCATGATGGTTTATTACTGTTGTATTGTTTAAAATTATGTTACTATTGTTAGATATTTATATTAATTTGTCTATACTTCTGCTGCATTTTTTGAGTTTTTACTATTTTAAATGTAGTTTCACATTTTTCATTTTTTCTTATTTTTAAATCTATAACATATTAAATGTTGAACATTTTCGATTTATGCCTTGTGCCTTGATGCTTATGCAACGTACATGCCTCGTAAAATGCACCGCCTAGAGCCACCGCCTTTCAAAACACTGTTTGAATTGACTATATTTTCAAAATGGTTGAAAATGCCTCCGCTACTTAGGTTTTAAATCTTGTTTAAAATATTGCATCTGATGTTCCATTGAAGAGTATTTTTATTTTTCTTGGTTGCTGGTGAATTTCTACTGATGCAGCATCATTTATTTAACTTTTTGTATTTCTCTTGACCTATCTGTAGATTATTGTACTTTAGCTGACTGTTGTTTGAATTAGTGGATGCTGTCAGATGGATTCGTCCTGATTGTATTATCATAGGATGTCTTCAAGTAAATGATGATGATGAGGAGGAAAATTATGCGGTGCAAGTCATCACAAGTGAGAATGGAGGAATAACTAACGTAAGTGGATAATTTGAACTGCAGAGAATCTAATTGGAGTAATAGTCTGATTGACCAAGCTTCTAAAATTAGCTTATTTTGAAAGATGCTTTCTCAAAACTGCTTTTTAAAAAAGTACTTTTAATGAGAAGTAATTTGTGTTTGGCTAATTAATTTAAAATATACTTTTGAGCAGCAATTAGTGTTTGGCCAAGCTTTTAAGAAGTGCTTTTAAGCGTATTTTTCTCAAAAGTGCTTTTGGGGAGAAGCTACTTTTTTTTGCTTCTCAAAAATTGCTTCTGCTTCTTCTCAAAAGCACTTTTTTCCTTTTAAAAGCTTGGCCAAACACCTTAACTTTAGAAAAAGCCACTTTTGGCCAAAAAGAAGCTTGGTCAAACAGGCTATAACTGTTATATTTCATTGTTCGTATCTTAATGTACTGTTCCTTAGTAGAAGAGTTCGTTCTAGTACGTGTATGACTTGTGCTACATTTTTAGAAGTCCTAGGTGAGAGATTTGTCAAAATCTCTTTAGTTATTGGCTAGATGAAGTTTTTCCTCAGGCCTGTTATAAGATCTACTTGGGTTGATAAGGCCCTCGTGTAGTGTGTTTGCTGTTACGGCTTCAGAGAGCTGGGCAAGATGTATTTTTAAAGTAGGGCTTGTCCCATTATATGCTCAACACTTGAGTTCTATTTTCTCTTATGCGTTTTTGCGATATTGTCAGTATAAGAATTATTTAGCTATCTGAAGGAGTTTTATATAAATAATTTGGGTAGTAATTCCATGATTAAATTGCTTTCTGAATTTGTACTTGTTCTCCTCTATCAATTCACAACACTTCATTTTGTGTAAATTTGAGCCATATGGAGAGAATGATGAGAATTAAAGAAGCTTTTGGAGAATAATTCTTGGAAAAATTCTTAAGGTTTCAAGGTTATATGTAACATTAGTATTCGAACATGAAATAGCCTTTTCCGACACTAGACATGACCTGTCCTAGAAAATCCTGGCGTGGTTGCAGCCTTTTACTGGCATGATGTCAAGCTCAAATATGTCCATTTTTAGACTTTCTCTTTGGTACCGAAAAGCTACAATCATGACTTACGATGCTCGCCTAAAACTCTAGATTATGACCATTCATAATGAGTTTGTGTTTGTAGTACTGGCCACCCATACTGATGCGGTGTTTAAAGCAGAAGGTTCTCAATCACATTATTTGACAAATGAAGCAATTAGAAAAGAAATAGGAAGCTAAGTGGAATTCCAAATACCCCATGCTTAAAGAAGATAAATAAGAAAAAGAACACACAAAGCTTTAGTTGTTTAGTAGCAATGGAGTTCATATGCAGACGCACGCAATGGGGATGGATCTGCAGCTTCTTAGGTTCGAAGACCACACACTAGGCAACAACCTTACTAATGGAGAAGCTAATCCTTCATGACCATGCAATGTTGATACTCTTGATCTCCACCCTCAAGTTCTAGTGTAGTTGGTAGAAAATATCCCCGGAGAGAGTTAATGATTAATTATATATTTCAGGCAAAAGCACATGTATTGATCTGATAACAATTTCTCCGGGGTAGAGGGGTTGTATTTTGATGTTGAGATTTGTTTCTTTTAGGCTTTCATTGAATAGTGAATGTTTTTATCCTCGTACCAAGGCAATTTATTACATGCTTACTTGCTAAGTTTCTTTTTCTTTTTGGGGATACGTTATTTTTTTCCTTTGCAGCCTTCCGCCAAGCCAGTTGTAAGGTCCTTCAGGGATGTGTTTCTAGACTTCCGTTATGATGCAGTTCCTTTATGCAGCGGACGCCATCTCTTCTTGAGTTATTTGGATCAACAGTACGTATTGTTACATTTTTATTTTATGATAGCTTGTCTGCATCCGGATTTAATTGCATTTTGTCCTTTGAAATTTATAGAGGATTAAGTCCTATTATTTGATTCAGTACTATCTTTTGCACTCTTTTATGTCACCGTCATGTTCAGTAAAGGTTATGAAAACTCTGCACAAATGAGACTACTCAAGAATGTTAGTGTCTCCATGAAACTGCTACAACCATATATCCGGATGTCCTGCTTCAAAATATAGAAGGAACTCTAATATTTTCATTTGAACTAATATATCTGCTGACCGCTCAAAAAGGCTCTCCTATTTTGCTGTCTCAAAACTGCATGAGGAACGATTTTGTCTACTTCCTTTTCCGTACTATGCTTGGTTTATCCACCCTTCTAATGTCCCCACTTGGACCTTAACTCCCATCCGAGAAAGATGGCCATTTTGTTCTGCCAATAATATTTTTCCCCTCCTTTCCATCCCAAAAGGGTCTTCTTTCGTTATTATGTCGCTTCACCTTCTCTCGGTTCCTCATAGGGGAATGAAGATCTTCTCATTGTGTTTTGACAACCACTAAACCCAACTACAGTCAGACCTCTCTATTACATCATCCCTATATAACAACACTTCACTATAAAAGCCAAGCTTTTCTGGAACCAATTTTTATATTATGTTATAATATATGTTCTCTATAACAACACGTCGCTATAACATCCAAAAATATTCGGAACAGACGAGGCTGTGATAGAGAGGTTTGACTGTAATAGGATAAGAGTTCAAACTGAAGAATGCCATAATCTTGGTTTTGCGAGGAAGAAACACCACATGCAAATAGTCTACTATTATCCTCAAGAGACATCCAATTCTTCCTCGTGGAAGGCTCTTGAGAGTTGATAACTGACGTTGAAGGGAATTGGTCATGTATGCGGGATTTATATTTGCATTCATGCAAACATATGTGCGACCTACATTTGAAGTGTGATTTTTTCCACTTGTGTTAGTGAAGCTGCAACCATCAGGTTTCTAGTCTATGCTTTAATCCTGACCGATATTTAGGTAATTCTGCTTGAGATAATAGACTCTCCGCCGTGTAACATCATGCTTAATGCTTTCATCACAAAGGTGAAACACAATAGTGAAAGGATTTCCTTGACACAATACTTCTTAAGCTGTCAAGAAAAACTTGACACAATACTTCTTGAGCTGTCAAGAAAAACCAATGGAGCTTTCTCTATTTGGTTGAAGACCAAGACTGAACCAATTTCTCCACCTTTGCATAGTTCAATTGATGTGATCATATGCCGTATTCATATCCAATTGACATAACATAATCATTTTTTGATAAGACAATTGACATAACATAATCAAGTGTTCCTCATGTTTATATCCATTTGACATACCATATCCTATTGATATAACAACGTTCCTCATGTTTAATGTGGACTCAGTGAGCTCATTTGCAATCGACGACACTTTAACAATGTGCGCGCCTTCAACAAAAGCATTATGTGAATCTGATACTCGACCAGTCACATCTTTTTATAGACAGAATCATTGGACGTTTTGTGTCGGCAATCCCAATCGGGCTGATGGGGCTAAGAATCTCTAATGCTGCCGGTTCTTATTTTTGCAATCAATCTATGAAAAAACTTTCTACATTTTCCCAAATGCATGTGAAGTTACAAATTTGCTAACAAGACTAAAATTAATACAAAAAGAGAGGAGTTGTACTGAGGCATAGTAGTCCATGGGAGGTATATTTTTTTTTTTTGGGGGGGGGGGGGGGGTAGAATTAGAGTTGACAATACTATTCTTGTTTGGTATATTCTTTAATTGGTGTGTTTAAACTCTGACAATTTCTGGATGAACATAACTTTTGTCCCATCGTTTGAAAGTGCCCGGGGGTGAAGATCTTTGATTTTTGGAAGTGGATATATGTTCCAAAGGTTTGGATCAGAGAGTGTTGTGTTCAACCTGTCAACATTTTGCATCTGTTACAGTATGAAGAGAATGTGTGTCCCGATTCATACATGTTTAGATTTATTGTATTTTCATAAAAAAAAAATCCTATAGGATATTCTATGAAGTACAATTAGGTAATTCTATATTTAGTTATAAAAATTGCATATTTTATTAGCTTGAAAATTGATTACCATTCATATTGTACATAGCCCAAGACTCATATAGTCCTATATAAAAGAGCACCTCTTGTATATTGTTGCTTAATTAAGTAAGTTTTTCTATTTTCACATGATATCAAAGCTATTTCTTCATAGAGACTCAAATAGCTTTCGTTATTAGCGGGTGGTGTCGGTCAAGGTACTGCATAATTCAGATCTCTTACCTCATAGTATTTTAATTTGTAAATACACTAACAACCTTTGAAATGATTTTCAAGGGCATATCTTACTTAAATTGGTAAAAGATTCAAGTTTTGGCAAGTCAATTGGTTTGTGGAAAGCACTTTAGGATATTTCGTCTAGCGATGGGCATATGTTGGACAAACCTGAAATTCGAACTGAAATCCGATATTTTTTTTTTGGATTACGGATTGGATTTCGGATTCAAGTTTTTAAATTTTTGGATTTTGGATTGCATGTTGGGATTTGGTACTTTAGATTTTTGGATATCTGAACATCTGAAATTTCTATACCTTATAGTGCTACCCGTTAGACACTAGTCCATTGTACATATGCCCAATTCTAATAGTCCTATACCCAACCCATTAAACGTTAACTCATATATCCAATTCTAATTACGAAGTTGTTAGAAGTAGTTCATGTATGGTGTCCCACATTGGTATAGAACGCTTTAGGTATATGTAAACATTTTATATAAATAGAGCTATTGTAAAACACTTAACGAATATCAATAATATATTATTTTTCATGCTTTCTCACATGGTATTAGAGCAGTGGTGGTGAGACACATCCGGGAACTAGAATACAGATCCAGAAGTCACCGTGCCTCAATTTTCCGGCGACTTTTCACGACTGTCTTGCATATCTCTCTCTCCGTCACTGTTGTGCAAAATCCAACACTACCACAAGATCCGTCATCGTCCGGCGACCAAACCCTAGTGAACCTCTCCGACACCAGATGCCTTACGTCATAAGCTAGGGTTCCTGCGTGCGCGTGAGCTCACGCGTTGGCTAGTACGACCACTTCCGGCCATTTTTTGAAAAAGTTTCTTCAGAACAGTTGGTTCGTCTACTAATTTCGACCCCATCCGTACTGTTTTCGTTTTATTCCAATCACTTAAGAGTTTTTCCGGCGACTACTGGTTTTTTCGGTAGCTGAGGTTACAATGTTTCCTTCGTCTATTTCACTAGCTTAGTTGATTCTTTCTATTATTTGGTAATAATTTGCTACATCTCTATGTTATTTGGTCAGTCTGTTTTTTCTTTAGTTCATTCTAATATATGGGGTCCTAGTAGAGTTAGTTCCACCTTAGGATTTCGTTATTTTGTTAGTTTCATTGATGATTACTCAAGATGTACTTGGATTTTCCTAATGAAAGATCGTTCTGAGTTGTTCTTTATATTCTAGAGTTTTTGTGCTGAAATTAAAACCAGTTTGGTGTGTCTATTCCTACTTTTCGTAGTGATAATGCCTTAGGATATTTATCCTCTTAGTTTCAGCAGTTTATGACTTCTCAAGGAATTATCCATCAGACATCTTGTCCGTATACTCCTCAACAGAATGGGGTAGCAGAGAGAAAATAGGCATCTCATTGAAACTGCTCACACACTTCTCATTCCATTTGTAGTTCCGTTGCGTTTTTGGGGCGATGCAGTTCTTACAACTGGTTACTTAATTAATCGGATGCCTTTATCTTCCATTCAGAATCAGATTCCACATTCAGTATTGTTCCGTAGGTCACCCGCATACTCTCTTCCTCGTGTTTTTGGGAATACTTGTTTGTCCTTAAATTAGCTCCCGGAAAAGATAAATTAGCTCCTCGTGCTCTCAAGTGTGTCTTTCTTGGCTATTGTCGGGTTCAAAAGGGGTATCGTTGCTACTCACCTGATCTTCGTAGGTATCTTATGTCAGCCGATGTCACGTTCTTTGAGTCTCAACCTTACTTTACTTCATCTAATCATCTTGATATATTTGAGGTCTTACCTACACCTACTTGTGAGGAATCCAGTGTTACTCCTCTTACATCCCCATCGACATCTACAGTACCGCCGTAGCCGCTGCTACCTATACCGACTTTTAAGGAGTCTACAGTTGCTCCTCCTACATCTCCACCCACAAGACCACCGCTCTTGACCTTATCATCGTCGTCCACGTCCAACATCAAGCCCAGATGATTCACGTCCTGCATCAGCTTCTGTACCTACTACGGACTTGGCTCCTCCTAGTCCACTGATTACACTTCGGAAAGGTGTACGATCCACACCTAATCCTAACCCCCATTATGTTGGTTTAAGTTATTACCATCTATCATCACCCCATTATGCTTTTGTATTATCTTTGTCCACTGTTTCCATTCCTAAGTCTACATGTGAGGCACTATCTCATCCAGGATGGCGACAAACTATGATTGACGAGATGTTTACTTTACATGCGAGTGGTACTTGGGAGCTTGTTCCTCTTCCTTCAGGTAAGTCTACTGTTGGTTGTCGTTGGTTTATGCTGTCAAAGTCGACCCGGATGGCCAGGTTGATCGACTTAAAGCTCGTTTTGTTGCAAAAGGATATACTCAGATATTTGGGCTTGATTATAGTGACACTTTCTCTCTCATGGCTAAAGTCATATCTGTTCGCCTTTTTCTGTCCATGGCTGCTGTTCGTCATTGGCCTCTTTATCAGTTGGACAGTAAGAATGCCTTTCTCCACGGTGATCTCGAGGATGAAGTTTATATGGAGCAACTGCCTGGTTTTGTTGCTCAGAGGGAGTCTAGTGGTCTTGTATATCGATTACGCAGGTCACTCTATGGTTTGAAAAAATCTCCTCGAGCCTGGTTTGGTAAGTTCAGCAAGTTCGGCATGGCTCGTAG